ATCCTACACGAGGGCAAGCTGGACAAGCGCGTGCAGTACATGATTGAGGTGCTGTTTCAGGTGCGCAAGGATGGATTCAAGGATCACTTGGCAATTGTCTCAGAGCTGGAGCTGGTGGAAGAGGATGAGCAATTTACGCATTTGATGATGCTGGATGAGGCCACCGAAACGGAGGATATATTGAGTGAGTAAAGGCAGGGAAAACCCACGCTTATACCTCTGACTTATACCTGAACCCATAATCTCCTTTCAGATGTCTTCAAATTCGATGAAAACTTTGCCGAAAACGAGGACAAATACAAGGGGCTGAGTGCGGAAATACTCGGCAGCGATGATGGCAGCGGTTCGGGCTCTGGCTCGGGCTCCGACTCCGACAGCGATTCGGATGGGGAGGCCAACTCCGATGCGGAAAAGAAAACCGATGCCGGCGATATTATAGACAACACAGAAACGAATCTGATTGCCCTGCGGCGCACCATTTATCTGACGATTAACTCCAGTTTGGATTACGAGGAATGCGCCCACAAGCTGATGAAAATGGAACTGAAGCCCGGGCAGGAGGTGGAGCTGTGTCACATGTTCCTCGATTGCTGTGCCGAGCAGCGCACCTACGAGAAGTTCTATGGCCTCTTGGCCCAACGTTTCTGCAACATAAATCGCATGTACATACCGCCCTTCGAGGAGATCTTCAAGGACACGTACCAGACAACGCATCGCCTGGACACGAATCGTTTGCGGAATGTCAGCAAGTTCTTTGCCCATTTGCTCTTCACCGATTCCATCAGCTGGGATGTGCTGGACTGTGTGCTGCTAAACGAGGACGATACCACTTCCTCGAGTCGCATTTTCATCAAGATTTTATTCCAGGAACTCGCGGAATACATGGGCCTGAGTAAACTCAACTCTAAGCTGAAGGAGGAGGTGCTGGTGGAGAGTCTGGCGGGGCTCTTTCCCAAAGATAATCCACGCAACACGCGCTTCTCCATTAACTTTTTCACGTCCATTGGTTTGGGTGGCTTGACCGATGATCTGCGACGTTTCCTGAAGACAGCGCCCAAGGCAGTGCCCGCCATCAATTCAGAGCTGCTGCTGGCCACGGGCGGCAATCCTTTCCGTGAGCCAGGAACAGCGGCAGATGCAGCAGCGGCAGCGCCCATTGCCGTGGGCAGCTCCTCCGACGGTTCCTCTTCGAGCTCCAGCAGCAGTTCCAGCGATGATGAGGATGAGGAGGAGCAAAAGTCAAGCACCAGCGACGAGGACAGCGACAGCGAATCCTCCAGCTCCGAGTCGGAGCCACAGCGCAAGCGCAAGGAAAAACGCAAGAAGAAGCCCAAAAAGCAACGCGAATTGGATCTCAAAAAGTCCAAGGATAAAAAAGATAAAAAGAAAAAGTCCAAAAAGGAAAAGGATAAAGAGCGGGAGAAGGAACGCGAACGCGAGGAGAAAAAGAAACGCGAAAAGGAAAAGAAAAAGGCCGCCAAGAAGAAGTCAAAACGCAAGCGCAAGCATCAGCAGGAGAGCTCCAGTTCGAGCAGCAGCAGCAGCTCCGAGGCAGCCAGCTCCACATCCTCGTCAGAGGCGGCCTCCAGCAGCGACGAGGACGACAGCGACGGTCAGCCACCGCCAAAGATGCAGCGCCAGGAGCAGGGCAGCCACAACCACAACAGCAACAAATTTAAGGGCCGCAAGGACGAAAGCGACGGGTTCAATCTGGAGGGACCACCAGCAATGGTACGTGAAAAGGAACGTCAGTTGCATCATCAACTGAATGGCAATGGCTCCAGAAAGCGGGAGCCATCACACCCCTCCGCACACGAAAGACAACCAGAGCGACGAGGAGAACGCGAGGCGCGTCGTGGAGACTCGCGTGGACGTCGTGGAGACTCTCGTGGACGTCGTGGAGACTCCCGTGGACGCCTTGGAGAATCTGTAGGTCGCCGTGGAGACTCCCGTGGACGCCTTGGAGACTCTGTTGGTCGCCGTGGAGACTCAAAAGGACGTCGTGGAGAGTCCCATGGCCGTCGCATCGAGAGAGCAGAGCCCCGTAGCGGTCGCAATGGCAGTGAACGTGACAGAGACCGTGATCAGGAAAGGAAACGTGAACGTGAACGTGAACGCGATCACGAACGTCGTGACAAGCGTGACCGGGATCGTGAACAGCCGCGAAATCGTGAACGTTCCCGTGAGCAGGAGCGCAGCAGCCGAAAAGAACGTGAACGCAGCGCCCACAAGCGTGTGTCAAAGGGGCGTGGATAGGTTGATGATAATATCTCTAGACTGTATAACGACAAAAAAATTCACCCCACATGCAAATATTTTTTTTTAAATATTTTTATGTAAACTGTGTACAAAGAAAACCGCATCCAAGCTATAACGATTGTAAATGTACTGCAAAAATAAACCAATTTTATTACACGATATCTTCACTCTTTCCTTTTTTCGCTGTTAAATTAATTTAATTAAATTTAAAATTCGTAGCCAAGATGGCCGCACACAACGGCTACGCCACTGCTACCCGAGGCGAACGTCGATGGCGCACAGCTGTTGCACCCCAGTCTTAGCGTCTCTGAAATCCGCGTCAAAGCAACGCTGAATTAGGGTTGCCACACGCGCAGCCCAAGTGCCGAAAATTTTGGACTGGCAACTCCCTTTTCGCATAAGTGTCGTCTGGCGTGAACACGCGGATTTCACTTGGTGGATTTTCAAATTGATAAATAAGGTAATTATGAGTGCCATCCGATGAAATAAATATGCGGCAAATGCTAATGAATGTACCCCAAACATTATGCAGCTGAAAACAAAATGACCAAGAAGCGCCGTAACGGAGGGCGGAACAAGCACAATCGCGGCCATGTGAAGCCCGTGCGCTGCACCAACTGTGCCCGCTGTGTGCCCAAGGATAAGGCCATCAAGAAGTTCGTCATCCGCAACATTGTGGAGGCGGCCGCTGTGCGCGACATCACCGAGGCCAGCATCTGGGACTCGTACGTGCTGCCCAAACTCTACGCCAAATTGCATTACTGCGTCTCGTGCGCAATTCACTCCAAGGTGGTGCGCAATCGTTCCCGCGAGGCACGTCGCATCCGTACGCCGCCACTCCGCTCCTTCCCCAAGGACATGGCCCGCAACAACCAGAATAGGAAGTAAATTTCAACTTTTATCATCTTAACTGGAGAAACTTGGATGCTTATGGCGTGCGGCTACACACCAACAACAACAACAGCAGCAGCAATTAATCAACTAGAATCCATCAGCTGTATGAACTAGAACAAGTTTTCGATATGGCACTGGTCTAACCGGCGAGAAGCGGACGAAATATAAGCATCCAGTTTTTACATTACACCCCCGAATATCCAATTTTCAGTGGTTTTAACGTGGGAGAGTGGAGACAGTCGACAGTCTCATGTGTGGCAGCAGGCACATCCATGAGCGGGCAGCAGGCAGGCAGCATCACTTGTTTCCTGAACGGATGCGCGGCGTAGTCAGTCGTCTGTGATATCTCATTTCCGGCACCTGTTTCCCCATACGTTCCAAGTGGAGCACAGCAGAATGAGCAGCAGTTTTCATTTCATTACTTTCTGGCCATTGCTATTCCTTCGTTTAACCCTTTAAATGGTTGATTTTGTGCTTGAAGTTTTGCAGATTTTTGGCAGCAGGTGAGAATTTGTGCGGCCATTGAACTTCAGCCCTTGCACTTTCCTTGCTGAACTAATCCAACATTAAGACACCTCTGGAAGGCTTTAAACTAATTCGCAGTTCACAATGTAAATACTTCATATTAGTATTGGTTGTATACCTCTATTTTTCATACTCTAATAGTTCATTATCTCATTTTTCTTGTATTCTGCAATTTCTGCCCCGAATTGGCGGGAATTTTGTGATGTGCCGCCAAATGTGATGTTTCCAACTCTTGTTGAAAACGACTAAGATGGAAGCAATTGTACAACAATTCCGCCAGCAATTCTTATAAGAAAAAATGAATAAGATAAGTCGGGTAAACCGGCTTATGTGGCATCAAGACGTGTTGGTTTCGGTCTAAATTGTGTTTGTAGGCTGCGGCAAAAAAAAAACAAAGTGCATGTAGCAAAAATGTAAGGCAGCATAGTACTGGAAACGGCCGACAATCTATTCTGAGCTTGACGTGGCGCCACTGTAGCGTCTTAGAATTACGTGTACATTGCATGTAGACAAGTTGTTTAGGCGCGAGAGTGTCCCTAAATGGATAATTTAATTAGGGATATATAAAATTCTGAATAATTGCTGTTAATGAATGGTTGCCTAGTTTACGCGTTGTCAACTTTCAACCAATGAAAAGGGAACTTGTTTTTAAGGTACAGGCGTAGTGCTGCATAGATCGTCAAAGCTCTCATACCCATCAAACTCAATTAGTTACAGGGCATGCCCACGCCATACTGTTTTTTGTTGTTGTTGGCATAAATTACACAGACGTGAGCGCAAAGGCAAATGAGAGTTTGGAGGGGTGTGGGCTGTTGGATCTGGGACCCCCCATTGGGGGTCACATGCGTGTGTGTGTGCGCGCACTTCCTTTTTCCTCCCCTTCTTGCCAATTCCCTTTTTTTCTTGGAGCCTTCGAGGAGTTTCTTGTTTTTTTTGCTTCTTTTTCGCTTGTTCAGCAGCAGTGTGGCAGTGGCAGTGGCAGGCCAGGCCAGGCGTTGGGGCTGAATTATGGTTTTCGTTTTGCTGTGCAAATAAAACGTAGACACACTCCTAAGCAGCAGCAGCCGTTGATCATTTAGCATAACTTAAATGGAATTCACAAAAGGCTGAAACAAAGGGTCACACAAGGGTTAATGAAAGTTATGACGGAGAAGCAGAGAATGCGAGAGAGAGAGAGAGAGAACGCGCGCACAGATGACGGAAAAACAGACTTTATTCAACAACCAAAAATTTTGTGATGCATTCGCATAAGTAGCAACATTTAATCCACATCATCGAGTATATCCGCCACAAGTATCACCATTTGAGCACATTTTCCTTGGTTTTCTCATGCTTCAATTCCAGGGTGGACACCGCTCAGCTTCCCCTCGTAGACGCCCGAGTAGACATCGCTCCAGAGATGCGAGAGCGGCGGTTCGCCATCCTTGCGTGCCGCACGTGTGGCCACCTCCATCTCCAGACGCGCCATCTGACTGATCTCTTGCAGCTCGTCCGCCGTGAGTATCTGCTGTTCCAGGCAGAGCGCACCAAAGCCCTGGATTGGATCGTGTTGCTGGCGCACCTTTTGGATCTCCTCGCGTGTGCGGTAACTGGTGCCCGGATCGGACATTGAGTGTCCGCCATAACGATACGTGCACAGCTCCAGGATTATTGGACCTTCTTGCTGGGCATGTTTGATGGCAAACTCCGTGGCACTGCGCACGGCCAGCACATCCTGGCCATTCACCCAGATTCCTGGCATCAGATCGCCGCGCGTGTAATAATTCACGTTCGCGGCAGCCCGCTGCGAGCTCGTGCCCATGCCATAGTTGTTGTTCTCGCAGACGAAGATCATTGGCAGCTTCCACAGCAGCGCCATGTTGAAGCACTCAAAGACCTGGCCCTGATTCGCGGCACCATCGCCGTATAGCGCCAGGCAGACGCCGCCATCCTGCAGATACTTGCTCGTGAGTGCCACGCCAGCGCCCAGAGGCACCTGATCGCCGACAATCCCGGTGCCGCCATAGAAGTTCCGTCCGTACATGTGCATGGAGCCGCCCTTGCCGCCGGAACAGCCACTTCGACGACCCGTCAGCTCCCCCAGCACTCCGCGAGCGGACACACCCATCATGTAGGCCCAGCCATGGACACGATAGCCGGTGATGAGCTTATCGTTGCTTCGCATAGCCGCTCGTATGCCCACGGCACAAGCCTCCTGCCCCATGTAGAGGTGGCAGAAGCCGCGCACCAGCTGCTCCTTGTACAGCCTCGAGGCAGCCGATTCCAGCAGCCGCACTGTCAACAGCTGGCGGTAGTACTCCCTGGCCTGCGACTTCATGATGGCCACCGCACGCGCGGGTCCTGCATTGAGGCGATGCAACTTGAAGTCCTTCGGCAGATACACCACACGGTACTCGTCGCCAAGATTCAGCTCCTGGGGGGATGCATTGTTCAATGGTTGGCTCTGGCTTTCCACAGTTTCTTCGACACATGGCGCCAGAGGCTGAGCGGAGGAGCAGCGCAACAGAAGACGACTGTCCAGACGGCTGGAAATTTTGCCTGCCACCTTGAACATTTTTAAAACGATTATTTTCAATGTGAAAGTAGTTTCGTTTGGAAAAGAGTCAAACGGATAAGGAAGAGACTACTATAGATCCCCACAAAAGCCACCCAAAAATCGTTCACCATTGTTTGTTACTCTTCTCGCTATTTATATTGTCTTTGATGGCAAATAACCTCATAAATACCAGTGGATACAACAACAATATATTTTCCTTTTTTCATATATCTTGCCATATTCACATTCATTTGAATTGCTCTTTCAATTGCTGTAACAGACACGTGTACTATATACCTCAATTGTTTCACCATTCTATGGGGTTTCATTGGCGGCATGATAACCTTTTGCACTTGGACACTTTTTTTTGTTGTCCCTCTCACAATTGTCGCTTTGTCGCTCTGTCTGTGCGCTCGCTCTATCGATTCCACTCTGCTGTAGCCTTTCATGCTCTATTTTTACTTTAATTTCCGCTATATTTTTGTGCCTCTGCGCGTGAGGCCTCCACCCACACATTCACTTACGATTCCCATATCCTTTTTTTACATTTTTTGTGGCTTTTGCTTTTGCGAGTACCTAATGCCATGGCCAGAACAAAACACTTTCACTGTCCCCACAGATATACATTTGTTGTTGTTGCTGCTGCTGCTGCTGGAAAAACTCTGTGAATCGTAAATAAAAACGTTAAATGTTTTTTTAACGTGCGCCACTTAACACTCGGTACAATTTAAAGGCAATTGGGCACACCAGAAAACAGCAACACAGCAGCCACACACACAACAGGAGGAGCAGCACAGAGGAACACCAACTGGAGGAGGAGTATGGCCAGGAGCAGGAGCAGCCACACAGCATCAACAATGGCCGCAAAAAGTCAAGCAATCCACATACATACATTTATGTATGTATCTCTTTATATATAGAAAGAAATGTGTATATGGCATATAAACGATATATTTCATGGCATTCTGTTTTCAAAATACCCTTGCAGAGGTATGCTTTAATGGATACTCTAGGCACGAGAAAGCCAATTAGGAGTTAGCTTAAGTAAGATATTGTTATACTTTTAAGTAATAATTGTTGTGTTTTATTGTATAATACTTCAAGTGGAAGCACAAAACTTCAGGCAGAAGAGATTGTGGTTGTTCAAGTCTCAGCTATGTGCATGTTGAAATGCAATAAAAACCACTACACAAATCTTTAATATAATAATATTAAATATAAACTTTTTATACAAAAATGCAGCTAGAGTAAGCCCTGAAATTCCTTCTGGAATTATCATTTATTCATTTATTATAATAGGGTATTCCTGGTCCCGATTTCGTAATTCCCTGATTTGCCCAACCTTTTTTTTTGGTTTGCTCTCCTTTTGTCATTTCGCTCTCTGTTTTGTTTTATTATTATTATTTGAGCTTTTTGTTAGCTGGCTCGTAATTTAATATAGATTTTTGTCCCCTTCCCCAGCCATGAACGAATCACAACGCCACCTTCCCCCGCATGACTTGTACTCCGCACTTTTTTTATGTTTCAAACAATAAATTGTCAATTGATTTTTGGTATGGCACTGGCATATATTTACCTACTTTTTTTCCAACTGCTGCAAATGAAAAATCTTGCAAGGGGGAGAAATCTTGTTTCTTGTAGCCTGATGCCTTGTCAAACAAATCGTAAAAATGTGAAATAATTTTTATTTATATACAAATCATCAAATGGCATTTTCTTGTACATATTTTCAATTATGGGAATGGGAATGAGCAGTGTGGAAAACTGTGGGCAAAATTAAACAATTTTTTATGTATTTCTTTTGCTGCTGTTTGCTGTGGCAGAATATCAAAGTGATATGACGTTTGCACGCTTCCTGGGGGGCACACATGTTTGTGGAATACCTATAAAAATTGTTTGCATTGAAAAGGAAAAGCATAAACATATAAACTTATCTACAGATATCCGCGACCTGCCACCCCCCGCCACAAGTTGAGTGTTTATTTTGTGATTGATATAAATAAAGAGTCGCAGGCGGGCAGGCAGGCAGAGGACTTTTGAACAGTCGATGGGTGTTATTATTTGTATTGTCAATGACAGCTGCGGCTTCTTTTTTTCATTTTTCATTTGTCCTTCCTCCGTCCCCGTTTTCACTGGGTACTTGTGGCCTTGGGTGCTGGTTCTCGATACATGTTTGATGTTGGGAAATGTAGCATGTGTCCGCCCGTAGAGTGGAGCAGCATGGAAATGGAAAGAATAACAGCAAGAGAAATATTTTTATATGCATATGAAAATTAAGCCTTTATTTATAATTGAATGGTGGCACACGGGCAGGAGAGAGGTCCTGCGACACTAGGCTGAAGTTTATTGAAAGCGAAAGAATATTTTAATGGCAATCAATGTACTTGAATGATGATGGATGGATGTATTACCCCGCATCACTTGGCTTAAGATGGGGTTAAAAAAGAAAGGGATGTCCCAAAGATGCTTATTTAATATAAATATAAATAATTCCACTTCTTATGGGAATGCTCAGTGGAGGGCACTGCTTTTCATGGGTAAATTGATCTGCTTGCACTTTTGACAGCTTAAAAGTGTGGTAAAACTGTCAAATATTTTGCCTGTAATTGTAATTTCCAGAAGGGATATTTTATAGGTTTTAACTCTCCCACATCAAGTAGTTCCTTCTCACACACTTAATCCATTTAATCACTGACTACTTAATTTTTATCTACTCCTTCAAGTAACCCCAGCCCTCTACTGCTGCCCTTTCGCACATCCTTTGATCAATTGCATTTATAGCACTCCCAACGTTTCCCATATTTGTTTCATCCATCACCTGCTGCTGCTGTAAAAAAAATAAAGAGAAGAAAATAACAAGAGGAAAATGAACTCATTTGTTGCCCCACTTGCCAAGTGGAACCCAATGCATTCTCATCTCCGAGTCTTCTTCAATGAACGGGGGCCAGAACCTTTCCACCATTCGTTTCAATACAATTAAATTTCCACGCTGCTTGATTTTGAACGCTTGACGCATTTTAATTATTTTCAATGGGAGAGAATGCTTTATGAAATTCGCCAGCGACCCAATTGCTCAACATTCAGAGAGGTTCTGCCTCTCACTTGTAACTCCTCCAGGATCTGCCTGCCTTTATCCTTTCCGCTCTGGAGATATTCATGTGTGTGTGTGGCAAGCGGAAGTGCAGCAGGAGCCAAAGACAGTGGAAACGAAAATGAATGTCATTCATTCGGGAGAGTCCTTCGGGAGTCCTGCATGCAATTAAGCCTGCCGCTGCCTCTCTCTCTCTCTCTCTCTCTCTCTCTGTCTCTCTCTCTTCCTCTGTTCAGCCACCTGTATGAGAAGTGGGTGGCGTAGGCGGAATTTCAGGCTTGGTCTTCAGGTTAATTACAATCTACATTGTTTATCGGTTCATTCTTTTCATCCTCTCATTCCCTTGGCAGTTTAATAGAATTTTTTTAAATGTTTCTCTTCCCTTGCCAGCGAGTCCTTTTTCTTTGCTTAATTATGCGCACAAAATTTTGTATAAAAAAATTAATTGTTTGGGGTTAATTAATAATTCAGAAAATTCACTGCAGAACTTTTTCCAGCTGCAGCCAGTCCCCTCTCCTGGGTGCACTTTTAATGGACTGCAAAGGACTTTCCCAAGTAGAATTGCTAATGGCCAAGGCTTTTTTGCCTCTCGTTCATTGAAGTCTAGTCTGAGGACGGAGGTCTGGACCTGGTCGGGACATCATCTGCATAATTCTTCATTAACGCGAACTTAATGCATTTATGGTTAACGCAGACAACGCGAAATGATGTTTCATAATTCAATTATCAAGGGGCGCGCTTAAACGGGGGCACAATGTGGTTACATGTCCTGGTTTTTACGGGCTCTCCCCGGGTTCTACCGGCTTCGGCATACGGTGCGTAAAGGTGAAAGTGTTGCTGGGGTCGGCAAGAGCCATCAATTTGTTGTTAATTGAAAAATGTGCAAACTGCTTGAGTTACAATGAGGTTACAAAGTTTTTTAAATCACTTTTTAACCATCTTTTATTTCTATTGTATTTTGAAAAACATTTCCAAAGGCCTGAGCACCGGATATCCGCATGTCGAGGCACGTGTGGTGCCACTGCAAAAAGGCTTTCATGGCTTCAAACAAATCCACCATAAATCTGTTTGCCATTTCTCTTTAATAAATTGCATTTAATATAATTTCCCATCACTTAAGTAACTCGTTGCCTAGCCCCATGCCCGCCCCCTCTAAATGGGGATATCCCCAAATGGCCTGATAAGAATTTCATTTCCTATGCTATTCACACGCGTCCACCGCTTAGCCACGCCTCTCGCCCGCCAGCCATAAAAATTGATACGCACAATCAGAAACCCTTTTTTTTGGTCTGCTAAAGGGACCCTTTTCGAGAGGCCCTGCCCTAACTTTAAGGCCGAAACATAAACAAGTTAGTCAAATAAAACATTTTGTTTTTTAATAAAAAGTCAAACAAACAGTTAAAAAAAAAAGAGTAAATGGATCAAAGTAAAAATTCCCATGACATGTGTGTGTGCCGGGTGTGTTCCGGGTGTGTGTGTGTGTGTGTGTGTGTGAGCCTCACCCAAATTATCCATAGCCTGTGGCCAAAAAGAGACCGACTTTCACTTACGTTGGCGTATATGCAATGTTGGTTTGTCCTCTCCTGGAGTAGAAATCATGACATGTTTTGGGCCCCGGTCTCGAAATCATTTATTGCTGTCCACTTGGCTTCAGTTTTCTGTTTTTTTCTGCTGCTGCTGCTGTTGCTCCTGTTATTATTATCTCATGAATGCTAAATGCCCCAAGAGGGAGACAGAGAGCGACTGTGGGGGATAAATATGATATGGGGGCTCCCCCATTGTGGCAAGCAGCGCTTTGTGCCTCAAGTTATGGCATGCACAGAGAGAATTGGGTACCAATTATTTAGAGATGTTTTCCAAGAGATTAATAATCTTTACCAACACAGTTTTTGGTGTTTCAAACACTGGTGTTAATTCTTGATGATCTACAGTTTTATATCTGGTAACTTATTTGTATTT